ATACGACTAGTAAGGAAAGTAATTATCACCTGCCCAACCTGGCCAGCCCACTCCAGGCACAGGGAAGAAAACCATTTCAGAACTTTATTTCCTATATTGAACATCAATAATTGGATGTATTTATAAGTCTCTAGAAGAAAACAGCTTGTGATTTCAAGATGAGAAAACAGTCTTCCAAACAATGAAAAACAATATATTCCTCATTTTCACACACACACACGCACACACACACACACAGCCTGTTTCCTTTGATGTTTTTAAGGTGCTGTTGGAATGATTTGCCTTTCGGAAGCCACTCTTCCATTTCTCATCTCAAATTGCCTAGTAGACCCTGGCAAAGTACTCAGTGGGGACCACTTCATCTGAGGCAATGATGGCGGCTTCCTAAGGAAGGCCCCACAGCCGCCATCCACTCTTTTCTGAAGCCAGAAAGATGCCTAGGTGCATAGGGCTGGAGGGGAGGGATGGGCAGGAGATTGGCATGAAGTGAGGCTTCTCTGGGGACTGATGGATAGGGTGACAGCTATGTTGGAACCCTGGAGGAGGGAGCAGGCCATGCTGGCCTCAGGAGGGAGATTGTGGTTGCCCCTGCTGCTGCCTCCACGAAGGCCAAAGGTCTGTCAGAACAGTCATGGAAAGAGAGCCTTGTGAGGATTGCATTCCCATCATGTTCTGTCCTCCACCTAGGAAGAGGTGAGATGGGAACATGACACTTCCAGCCCCATCTCAACCCACACATAGTTGTGGCTGCCCGTATCTTTGTTCTTTCTGTTAATGTAGTTGGTGCAGCTTTTCTAAGTCTAGCCTCTGACTCTGAGCAAAAACAAATAAACAAAAACCCAAATGACATTCTTGGGTGGGATTTTACCACATGGGCCCCCCACATGGTTGGTTACAGGGTCCAGCCCTGAGCTCTTCCCAGTTCTCTCTTCCAACCCTCCTGAGTTTCTGCTGGGGAGATGAGCTTGGACCCCACTGCTTCCCTTCTCAGAATTCCTCAGGGACTTCCTACTATCCGCAGGAGGAAATACCAGCATACAGCCCTGTCCTGAGGCCCTCCCAGATGAGGGCTCTTCAGGGGCAGCACTGAGGGCATCTTCTCTGCACCCCAGACCTGAGATTCCCCAGGGGAGGGTCTCAGTTCCCTACCTCTTACAGTAGGGCCAGTCTCAGGCTGGTATCACTTGGTGGCTGGCCAAGTGCCACTGCCAGTGTGGTCCCACAGAGTCTTCCCACAGACCATTGTTATCAGCAGAAGATAGCAGTGACACCCCTGCATGGCCCCAATGGTGGTCATGAAGTTGAATGTGCTTGCTCACCAAATTTGGGTCTGCTAGCTGTCAGCAAAGGCTCTGATAGCATAGTGCCTAAGGCACTTGACTGCTAACTAAAAGGCTGGCGGTTCAAACTCACCAGCCACTCCTCGGAAGGAAGGTTAGGCAATCTACTTCCATAGTGACACCACCTCGGAAACCCAAGGAGGGGTCGCTAGGAGTCAGGGACGACTCGGCAGCACATAACAACAACAACAACAGTTGTCAGCAATGTTCATGGAGCTGCTAAGATGTGGTGACTAGATTGAAGGGGTTGGACAGAGCAGAAAACCTGGCAGGATACCCAAAGCCAGAGCCGAACAGTTTCAGGGGAACCAAGAAGAGCCATAGGAGCTCTAAGGAGGGGCCTCCCAAGGACATGGGTTTCTTTTGTGGGCCTCTGACTTGGCCAAGGTGATCTAGGAGGTGTTATACTGGGTGAGTACAGATACCTCCCACCCACCTGCTGGAGACTTTCGGCCAAAGGCCTGTGACCTCGGAAGGGATGCCATAGTGGCCTGAGTGTGTTATCAGGTGCTCTCCCTCAGCTGATTTACACACTCCATTCTGAGTCTCTAAAATCAATCTTTTCCCAACTGCCTCCTGGCTCCCAGCAGTGTCTGGGGTCTGTTCTGCATGAATAACTATGCAATCTTCTCCCACACCCTGGCTGCTTCTCCTGGAGCCCCTGCCAGATTTTCTGATGATGGGGGGATGAGGGATGGGGAGACAAGCTGCCAGAGTCTTTGATGGGGAGGGGTGAAGGTGGGGGGGGAGGGGTAGTCTTGTCAGAGACTCTGATGAGGGTGAGTGGGTAAGGACAATTCTATCAGAAAGTCTGATGAGGTGGTGAGGTGTGGAGGGTGAGGAGTGGGGTAGGGGCAGCCCTGGGTGGGCAGGACTCATAGGCAGGGTCTCCCTAATACTGCCCACAAACAAGGGAACTCTACCCAATTGTCGGGTGCTCTCTCCCTGTTATTTTGTGGATGTTTAGGACAATTACTTCTTTCTCATATTGACAAACACTCAGAGTTAGCAGCTGGCCTAATCTTGAATATTTTCTGTCAAAAGAAATGATGCTAACCAGAAGGCTGGGGGTGCTGTAATTAGTTCGAGGGCAGGCTTTCCTTCAAAGGAGAATGAAAACTCATTTTACCTACTCTTTCTGATTTTCGAAAAGTACTTCTTATTAGGGAGTAAATCTCTTCAACTGAAGGGGAAGCTACAACTGATTGGGCCCAAGTTCTCAGGGGCTCTAGGTCAGGCAGTGGGTGTGGGGACTGTGTGTTTCAAAGAACTTTGTGCCTCTGCTGTCCTCCCTGGAAACTGGCTAGAGGATGGACAGGACCTCTCTGGGGTTGTTGTGCCCTGGGGCAAGAGAGGGCAGCCACAAGGATCTTGAGGGGCTGCAGAGCTCCTCCTGGGCATGCCTGGTCTGGAGGTCAGAGCAGTGAAGGTGTGTAAGGGAAGGGGGAGGAAGGATGTGGTTCCCTTCTTCCATCAACCCTCTTCTGCCTGGCTGGGCCAGGGATGTGGGAAGGGCTGTCTGAAAGTGTCCTCTTCCCCCCACACCTCATGGCTTTGACCTCTGTAGCTGTGCCACAAGTTAAAGGTGCCCCCACCAACATTTTCTGGTGGAATCCTACAGCAGCCCTGCAAGGTGGGGACAATTAGCTACCATCTGACAGACCATGTGCCTTTCTCCTACCCTGTTTATGGTCTGGTTCAATTCCTCCTCCTATTTTGGGGGTCCCAGGAGTTCTGGTGGTGTAGTGCCTAAGGCATCTGACTGCTAACCAGAAGGCTAGTGGTTCAAACCCACCAGCTACTCCTCAGAAGGAAGACTGGGCAATCTACTTCCACAGAGATACCGCCTCAGAAACCCAAGGAGGGGTCCCTATGAGTTGCAATTGACTTGATGGCAGTGAGTTTGATTGTTTTGATTTTACTGTCTTCCTGGCATTGTGGGGACAAACAGCAACTGCTTCTGATGGCCCCCAGCCTAGCCATGGAGACTGTGGTAGTTGTGTGTCAACTTGGCTGGGCCTGGCTTTGAGTGGCTGGGCAGCTGGTTGTAGTTATTCCCCATGATAAGACTGGTGATCAACTCCATTGTGGAATCTACTGAAGCAGCTGAGTAGCTGTCTTAGGGATGTGGTCTGCTTCCAGTATATAAGAAGCAGCTTGAGAAAAGTCTGCAGCTTTTTAGCATGCTTGCACCCTGCATGTAGCTGAGTCTTCATTTAGCAGCCTAACATGTTTCCTGCCGATCTTGGGACGGTCTCTGGACTTGAATTAGTGGCCTGCTGCATTGTTTGGTAATATTGGGACTGAGCTATTTTATTTGTCAACCTTGGGCAAGCCCCAGCAGCCAGCAACCGTCTGAGTGAAGAGACACCTCTAGCTCCAGTGGGCTGAAAGCAAGAGGCAGACCTGAAGCCCGAGGTTGAGGGACTTTGACCCAGCTCCTAGAGCTTGGCACTTTGAATTTGGACTTCTAGCCACCAAAACTGTAAGAGAATAAACTGTTTGTTAAAGCGACCCATTTGTAGTATTTCTGTTAGAGCAGCACAAAGTAACCAAAGCAGAGACTCATATCCTTGTCTCAACAAAAAACTCAAGAACCACCCTCGAATCCAAGGACCAGAAGTTAGTTGTAATTGAGAGATAGCTGGGTCAGGGGCCCCATGGGTATGTGGTGGGCCCACCTCCTGTCCAGTCGTGAGACCCTTTTCCTTGACAGTGTGGGATGCTTAGGGGTGTAGCTACCAAGTATGCATCCTGGGCTCACCACTCAAGAGCTGCATGAGCTCAGGTAAGTTACCTGCCTCTCTGGCCTCAGTTTCCTCATTTGTGAAATGGCACTAAGGGAAGTGTCTGAGGGGACTGTTGTAAAATTTCAGTGAATTAACACTTGCAACATGTTCTGGCCAGTGCTTGGCACAGTAAGTGGTCTGTACTTGCTGTCAGTAGTTGCTGTTATTACTATTATTTTTGCACATGTACAGACCAGGGAGGGCTACATGTGGTCTTTATCATAACCCAAAAAAATATCTCTGGAAAACTCAGCACCTTACACCAGTGCCCAAGAGGAAGGGCCTGAAGAGGGTTAGCCTTCTAGCAGATTCTCCCTCTTGAACTCCTCTCCCCTCTGTCCATGTCTCCCCAAACCTCCTCACTGGTCTCCCTTCCTCCAGGTCCTTCTCTATCCTGCAGCTTGAAAAAGATCCTGCCACAGAGTCAGGCCCTACAGGATCTGGCCCTTGCTCACCTCTGAGGCCGCACCTCTCACTCCCTACACTCCCCCTCCTGCTTTTAGGTTCTTCCAATCGCCCTGACCTTTGGTCAAGCCATTTCCCTTCTTAAGCAACAGCTGTCACCGCCCGCCAGACCCTAGACTGGGTCAGAGGCCACTCCCCCTACACACCCCTACCCCGATATCTTCATCCTTTCTTGTCCTTCCGTCTGGGCCGGCAGGCGGTGACGCCGGATAGGAGCTGAGCCAGAATCTAGCTGCTTGGGTTGTAGCCTCCACTGCGACTCAGTTCCCGGCCTGCCGCGGTGACCCAACTTGTGGATCTCGCCCCGCCCCTCCGTGGCACCGCCCCTCGGGTCCAGTGGAGCCGCCGCTCGGGCCCCAGCTCCAGCTCCAGCAGCGGAACCCAGCTCCACTCAGCTGACGCCGCGCCTCACGTGACGCTCGTGCAGGTGAACATGGCGGCAGGCGCAGGGTGAGTGCTGCTTCTCTCCCTAGCTCTTGCCCACGGGCGCGGAGAGGAGGCCTTGGTGTTCCCAAGTGGGCAGTGGGTGAGAATCTCCGCCGCTGGTCTGCCCCCTGGCCGGGCTAGCTGTGTGGCCGCGGGTAGCGGTTCCAGTCTCCGAACGCGGGTCTTTGGATCTTTGCTCGCTAGGAGTCAGTGGTCGGCGCTTGTTCCTGAAACCACCCCCGGCTCAACTCCCGCTTCAGGCTCATCCTTGGTGGCCACCCTGGCACTCAGGCCCCACCATTGAGTGGTATCCCCACTGTGTATGACCGTAGTGGGACCTCTGATCGACACGCGCCTTCACTGCCACGACTCTCACTTGAGAAGGCAGCGTTGCCAGAGCTTCCAGGGACTTGGGCGTTTCCCAGGGAGTAGAGGTAGTAGGAGGGGGCAGTGCCCTAGGTGCCAGACCGGGAACCGAGATCAGGCACTGGTGGATTGAGTGCATCTAACAGAAAATAGACACTCAGTTGGCTGCCGAGGTTGGGAGAGCTTAGACCATGCTCACCAAACATTTAGTGGACACTTGTATTCCAGGAACAGTGCTAGGCCTGCCCTGGGGTTCTCAGGCTACTAGGACAGGACATATAAGACTGTCATCTGAGGTGTCTGCCTCTGATCTTGGTATTTGCTATGGAGGGGCATGGGTTCTGAGCCCAGGAGAGCGTTTGGGAAGATTTACACTCTGATGACTTTGGGCATTTAGACACCCCGCAAGCAGGGACCTGTGAGTGCAAAGGCCCAGGGCCATTCAAAGAACCCAGTGAAAGAGCCCTGAACTTAACGTTGAAGAACAGAGTGAGCATGCAGGTGCAGGCTGGTGTCCAGATGTGGGTCTGTTGTCCCCAGGTGGTCATAGGTTTATCCAGGGGCTGCATTTGGGTTCAGGGCTCCTGGCTGGGCTGAGGCATGCTGCTTTCCTGAAGGTACAGAGGATGCAGGTTGGGTGATTGAATGGGAGTGAGCCTAGTTGGCCGGATCCTGGAGAAGGGCTTTTCTAGCAAAGACAACGTTGAGAACAAGCTGATTCTCTGGGCTGTGGTGTGGGAATGGTTGAGGGGTTAGGCTTAGCAGAGATTTTAGAGAGGTATGCTATTGGAAGGGAGACCAGATGTGGGAAGCTTCCAGACCTTGACAAGCCAGCCTTGGGAAGAGCCATCCCAGGCTGGTATGGGGCTGCTTTGCTGGGTACTTTGAACCTGAGGTTGAGCCCCGGTAACTTCTTTAAAGGGAGGAGGTTTGAGTGTGTTTCCAGCGAAACTTGACCCCCAGAGCTGCACTCGCAGGATGGTTCAGGGTGTCTAGCATGACTAGGCATCATGGCATTAAGCCATGGCCACTGGCTGCCTTTGCAGTCCTATTGAAGCTTGGGACAGGGAAGGCCTGTGAGAGTCCCAGGTGACTAGGGTGTGTTCCATATGATTTTGGGGCAATAAACTTACTAAACTGGCATCACAGATTCAAGTAAAAATGTGAGATGCACCTCTGGGGGGGGGGGCTGTATTTTGGGCCAGGTGAACTGGTTCATTCCAGTTTTACCTCCTGCTGAGAATTTGCATTTCCACCCAGATGCACTGAATCAGGGAGCTCCGGTGGCATAGTGCCTAAGGCATTTGACTGCTAACTAGAAGGCTGGTGGTTCAAACCCACCAGCCACTCCTCAGAAGGAAGGTTGGGCAACCCACTTCCCTAGTTATGATACCACCTCAGAAACCCAAGGAGGGGTCACTATGAGTCGGATCTGACTCCACGGCAGTAAGTTTGATTTTGGTTACACTGAATCAGAGTCTACATTTTCACAGAATTCCCAGGTGTACAGAAGAACCAATGGGAATCTATAAGTATCCCCTAGGGATCTTATGAAAATGTAGATTCTGATTCAGTGTATCTAGAGTGGAAAAACAAATTCTCAGCAGAGGGTCAAACTAGAATGAACTGGTTCAAAGCCTTGGTTTCAGGGTTGATCCTGTTCTAACCTGCCAGCCTGGGCAGGTGCTCCAGGTCTGAGAGGAGGGTCTCACAGAGGATTTGCCCCAAGATCACCTCCTGTCCCCACTCCCAGGGAGAGGGCCCCATCCCATGGCACTTAGTGGGAGGGAACACTGCCTTGTCCTTGAGCGGTGCTCTGAGCTTTCCATGGATAGCCTTGGGACCTCCTGGCCCTAACCAGACCTGTCAACACTTACTTTCCCATGTGGCTCTTGCCTTCCTCCTTTTCCTCCTGTCCCCTTATCTCCTGGCCCTGGAATGCCTTAGTCCCCCAACATAATTGCTTACCTACTTGGAGAGATGGGGGAGGGAAAGGAAGCACTCATTGGCCAATTTGCCTCTCACAGACCCACCCCTACCCCAAGGTCAGCCTGAGGCATCTGTTCCAGGAGCACAAGGGTGATTCCTCCTGACACTTCACTTTACCTCCAGAAGAATGCTGACTCCAGCATGATGCAACAGGGCAGCTTAGATGGCCCTGCTTCCCAGAAGCCTTTTCCTGACATCCATTCACCTTCCCCCAGTAAAGGCCTTCTGCTTAGAACTCCGGAGACGCCCAGTGTTCCTTACTGGCACAACACTTTGCCACATCGCACCTCACGACTGGGGGAGAGTTGCTTTCCTTCATGCCTCTTGTGGCATCCTTGGGGCCCAGGGCCAGCTTGTGGCTTCCCTGTGATTGGTGCTCAGTGAGAGCTGAATGAACGAAAGGGGCTATACTCTCCATTAGTCCAAACATCCACCCCTACAGTTTCCCTGGAAGACTCTCAGTGACTGAGGAAAGGGGTGTGTGTGTGGGAGGACAGAATTCTGAGAAATCAGATGGAGAAACATCTTTAATTCTTTAACTGAGAAGCTCCAGGGAACTGTTGTGTGGAGAACCTTTGCTAGTGACAAGTGACCAGTGAGCTGTCCTGGGTATGTACCTGTTGTATCCTAGGTCCTGTTAGAGTCAGTATTTTTCTGGAAGTAAAGTGTCTGGAGGAGACATGAGCATCCCCACCCTGGTGTGACCCTTGTACTCTTGGAGCAGAGGTCTCAGGTTGACCTTGGGGTAGGGGTGGGTCTGTGAGAGGCAGGTTGGCCACTGACTGCCCTCACCCATCTTTTCCTCAGGCCTGCTTCTGACTCCACATAGTCCACTTTCTGTCCCCCTGTGCTTCTTGAACCTCCTCAGGAGAGAGGGAGTTGGAATGGGGGTTCTGACCAGCCAGCTGTCCAAGGCTCTCTCCAGTGAAGGTGGTTGGGCTGACTTGCTAATTGGTGCCTGGTCCCAAGTTGAGGCTGAGGGTGTCAGGTGAGAAAACAGGCTGTGCCTGGCTGACCTGTTTTGCTGGAAGCAGTATGGCCCCATCTAGAAATGACTTCCCATTCTAATTCTAGTGCAAGGATCTTGTCCTTATCTGTTCTGGGGACCCCAGTGACACCTGGTAAAAGCTATGGACACTTCTCAGTATGATATTTTTAAATGTGTGAAATAAAACACAGAGGATTACAAGGAAAACCAGTTATACTGAAATACAGTTAACAAAATGTTAAACAAATTTGTGATACGGTAACACTACCTCTTTATTATTTTAAATAACAAAATCCAGCAGCAGGTCTAATAACCACCTTAATTTTGAAGTGGTGACGAGTGTAAATGATCATTTGAGATATTGCAACAATAATGTGATATGCAAATACTTGTAATTTCTGTTGGTGACAGATTCAAATGCACTGCTGATACTGTTGTGTTGTTCACATTCTAATTGGAAGGAAATATAAATTTGAATTAGAGATTCGAGAAAATAAAGATACGACTTTTTTTTTTCCACCCACGTTCATATCAAAAAAAAATGATTTTTATGCATAAACCCTCAGGGGTTCCATGAGCCTTGGGTAAGAACCTTGTAGGTGGCCAATAAAGGGGAAAGGAGAGGGTGATTCAGTGCTGAGATGGGGGCACAGGGTTGAATGGGATCAAGTGACCAGGAGTGGAGCTAGGTCCCCAGCATCATACCCTCGCTGGGGACCTAGCTCCACTCCTGGTCACTTGATCTCAGCCCAGGACTAATTACTGGGCCTCGGCAGTTGGATGGTGGGGGGATGGCTGGCCTGTGGGGGACAGAGACTTGCCCTAGGGGTCTTTTCAATGGCAATTCCTGGTCTGCTAGCTTCTGCTGCTGTCCCTCAAAGCATAGAATTGATGGGACATTGCTTGGGCTTTCGGCCACTTGCAGTCAAGCATGGCTTATTTATGCTGGGACATGGGGATGACATGGCCTTTGCCTTTTAAATTTCAGATGTCAGTTAACAAAAGCTGAAGCCAAATCCAGCTGGAGATGTTTTATTAGTGCTGCTTTTGCTGAATTTGCAGGGAGAAGTCATCTGCTTTGGCTTTGGGCCTGACAGTCTCTTTGGGGGCTTGGTTTATGCTATGAGATATCAAAGAGCATGTCTCTATAAACCTTGATTCTGGGAGTGGCCTGTAATTAATGACTGCAGCACATCTCCCCACCTGGTGGCTCAGGCTGGGCTACCCTCCCTGGTAAGCCTGAGGTGCTCTGTTCTGACTGTGTCACATGAAAGAATAAGTACTGTTGATTTCCCTCACAGTTGTAGCTGACTGCTTGAGCAGAGGGAGTCTTCTTAAGTTTCCTGGCTTAACCTGGCCAGTCCAAGTGCCCTGAGGGGTAGGCCTCTCAGAAGCCTTGTGGATTAGAGGAGTCTCAGCCTTCTGAGAGTCATCCAGGTGAGGGTACGGTACCTGGCAGGGTGGGCTGGGGACTTGGTGTGTTTAAGGAAGAAATCTAGGGTAGAAGCATAGTGAGTGGTGGGAGATGAGAAGGAAAAAAAAAAAAAAAACTACAAAACTCACTGCCGTTGAGTCAGATCCAACTCATAGCAACCCCTCCTTGGGTTTCCGAGGTGGTATCTCTATACAGAAGTAGATTGCTGGTGGGTTTGAAGCGCCAGCCTTCTAGTTAGCAGTCACACGCCTTAGGCACTACGCCACCAGAGCTGAGAAGAGTGGGGCTTCTCTGCAGGTCAGGAGCTCTAGTAGCATAGTGCCTAAGGCACTTGACTGCTATCCAGAAGGCTGGCGGTTCAAACCCACCAGCCACTCCTCGGAAGGAAGATGGGGCAATCTACTTCCGTAGTGATACTGCCTCAGCAACCCAAGGAGGGGTCGCTATGAGTCGGGGCCTACTCAACAGCACATAACAACAACAACAACTCTGCAGGTCGAGTGGGCTGAGGTTGGGCATTTCAGCCAGTTGTGCAATTGAGTAACAAGTCCAGATGAATCTGGAGCAACTTTGGCTGAGGCTGACTTAGTTCTCTAGTGCTGCTGTAACAGAAATACCACAAGTGGTTTGCTTTAACAAGCAAATTTATTCTCTTGCAGTTTAGGAGGCTGGAAGTGTAAATTCAGAGCACTGGATCTAGGGGAAGACTTTTTTCTCTCTTTGTCCCTTGGTCCTAGGAGGATCCTAGCACAGGGACCCTGAGTCCAAAGGACATGCTCTGCTCCTAGCTCTTCTTTGTTGGTGGTAGTAGGTCTCCCCTCACACTGCATGCTTCTCTCTCCTTCGATCTCTTATAAGATAAAAGACGTTGCAGGCCACACCCCAGGGAAGCTCCCCGTACTTTGGATCAGGGCTGTGATGGGATTAAGGGTGGTGAGCTCTGGTGACCTAGTGGATAAGGCATCTGGCTGCTAACCAGAAGGTCAGTGGTTCAAACCCACCAGCCGCTCTGGAGAAGGAAGATGGGCCGATCTACTTCTGTAAAGAGTTACAGTCTTGGAAACCCAATGGGGGTTGCTATAAATTGGAATTAACTTGATGGCAGTAAGTTTGGTTTGTTTCTTTGGTATCCTACCCTAATCCTTTTACAACTGATTGGCTTATCATATCATGGGGGATCATTACATAACTGACACATTATACCATTACAGAACTGCCAAACCACTGAGAGTCATGGTCCAGCCCAGTTGTCACATATTTTGGGGAGACAAAATTTAATCCATGACACCAGCTATAGCAGTGGCCTTGATGTTATTCCCTGTGTTCCTGGGAGTGTGCAGAGATGTGTTTCTTTCCCGTGCTATCACCCCCAGGCCCCCAACATGGGCTTTACTGAGTGAGGGGAAAGGGTGTGGAGGGCTGTGGCAGGGGTGGGGGTGGGGGTGCCATGCATGGGTGCTGATGGCTGCATTTTCAGTTCCTGACTGTGGGGCCAGCTGTGGTGAAGTCATGTTTATACACTGCCATTGAGTTCCTTCTGCCCTATCATCTCAGGAGGCTCCTCTTCCAACCCTTGTGGCTGAGGGTGGCAGAAAAACAGCCCCGCTTAGAGGAAACCCAGGCTGCCTGCTTCCTGCCCCACTGGGGCTGATGTGGCAACTCCTGATCTGCACAGCTGTGTGTGGCCCCATGTGTAAACTGTCACAGGGGCTCATTCAGCAAATATTTATTGAGTACCTGCTGTATGCCAAGAAGGTTCTAGGCACTGGGACACAGCAGTGACCAGAGCAGAGATAGACTTCTGCCTTCTGAGTGTACATTGTAGGGGGCAGAGATTGACAACCAGTTAACATTCATAAGCCCACACTGCACTTCCATTCAAAGATGATCTGTGTTGGATTGGTCAGGGACCTGGGGGCACGCAGATAGTTCCCACACAGGGATGATTGCTGAGAGTTTTGTGCAGACAGCTTACAGAGCTGTGGGCAGGTAAAAGGAACCTAGGAGAGAAGAGAAGGGATGCTGGTCAGGAAGGTGGCCTGGCTGGAGCTGTGGCCTTCGATGGAGGACACCAGCCATGGTGTGGCCTGTCAGGGAGGGGTCTGGGGGAAAAAAATCTCTGCCCATCCTCTCATCTGCCAGTCTTCTTCCCACAATGGCTAATCCACCTGGAAGCAAGAGTCTAGGGAGCCTCCTGATAACACCCATGTCAGTTGGCCTCCTGGGCCCAGAGCAAGATGCAGAATGGATCTGGAGGGCAGTAGAGAAGACCTAGGTTGAGTGCTGAGGGAAAAATAAAGCAGGACAACATTGGTGGGGAGGTTTCAATGGCATGTTTAAATAGCAAAGCCGTGGGAAACCAGCCTGAGCAGGTGGCATTGGAGTCAAGATGTGCTGGCTGTGTCACCAGCTTATATCTTGGGGTCCAGTTGGTTTGCCTCCATCCATCCACCCACCCTGTCAGTGGGGTTGGGCTCTGAGGGTCCCGTGGTAAGGTGGGTGCAGGAGGTGCCCGAGGCCTCTCTGTGGCTGCTGCTGAGAGAGAACGTTCCATCAGCTCCTGTGACTGCATTCTCCAGGCAGAGGCCCCTCTCCTCTTGCCTCGTGAGGCACCAGCTCTGGGCCGTCCTGCCTTCCTCCATTTATTTGTTCATTCGACAGCTACTGAGCATCACCTTTGCCCGACGCAGTGGTTTAGGTTCCAGGAACAAGATGAAGTCCCTGCCCTCACAGAGCTTAAGTTTTATTAGGAAAGAACAAGCAAATAAATACATACTGTTAGGTAGTGATGAGTGCACTAAGGAAGTGGGGGATAAGGTGTGGCTGGGCTGGTGTAGATGGAGTGGGGAGGCCAAGCTGCTCAGAAGAGGGCATAAAGAGAGAGTGAACCATGCGGGCAGCTAGGAGCAGAACACCCCTGGCAGGAACAGCAGTAGTGAGGGCCCTCAGGTGGGAAAGGTCTTAGTGTTTGGGAGAGAGCAAGAATATCTCTGTGTCTGGAGTGAGGGGGCCATTTGGGTAGGGTCAGATCCCTCAGTGCCTTGTAGCCTGGGGGATACCTTTGCATACTGAGGGGTAGTTCTAAGTGCAGTAGGGAGGGAGGGAGGGAAGGGCTTGAGCAGGGCAGTGCCTGGTCTAATTGGCATTTTGTAAGGGTAATTGGCTGTGGGGGAGCTCTGGTGGCAGAATGCCTAAGGTATTTAACTGCTAACCTGAAGGCTGGCGGTTCAAACCCACTAGCCACTCCTGGGAAGGAAGGTTGGTATTTCTGTAGAGATACCGCCTTGGAAACCCAAGGAAGGGTCGCTATGAGTCAAATCTACTCGATGGCGGTGAGTTGTTTTTGTTTTTTTTTTAACTGTCTGTGGTTGGAGACTAGGCTGTGGAGAAAGCTGTGCCAGGAGAGCGTTGAGAGATCCCTGCGGTTGTCCAGGGATGGGATGAGGTAGCTGTGGCAGCAGAGAGAAGGGCCCGGTTCTGGGTGTATACTGAAGTTCGGGGCAGCAGGAATTGCTGATGGATTAGAGGGGCAGTAAGAGAGCAGCTAAGGATGACCTCCTGGTTTTGTCCTGAGCAACTCCAAGGGCACACACAGGTTCCTTGTGCTGAGAAGGGAAAGAGTAGGGAAGAAGTGCCCTTGGTGGGAGGAGAGGGGCAGGGGTCTAGGTCCGTTTTGTGCCTGACTGGTGTGAGCTGACTGACATCTAAGGGGAGACGTTGGGTGGGCCATGGGATTTGTGAATCTGGAGGGGCATATCATGGGCCTAAGGTGGGGAAGGCTGGGGTGGGCTCAGCTGTGGTGAGGGAGAGTGTGTGGTTAAAGAGGTCCCAGGGCTGAGCCCTGGCTGCTCCAGCGTGGAGGCTGAGTTGAGAGGGGAGAGAGACTAAAGGTGGAGGGACCCTGCAGGGGCTGGTGCTTAGTGGGGTTTAGCACAAACAGTGCCTCATCCTTGTGGGTATGAATAGGCCAATGAGGACTTGGACCTTGTCGGTGGGTTCAGCAGCCTGGGGGTTACTGTGCTCTGACAGGCTGTAGTGTAGCTGTAGGTGGGGCCTGATTGGGGTGAATTGAGAGGGTGGGTGGCCAAGGCCTTGGGATGGTAGACTTGGATTCTTCATAGGATATTTATTGCGAAGGGGAGAGAGAAAAGGAGGGATTGGGGGCTGTGGAAAGTTCTTTTTTTTTCTTTTTTCTTTTTGAAGCTGGTGACGTTATTGTAGGTCTGGATGTTTAGAATGATCCCATAGAAGGGAAAATGGATGCAGCAGTGGAGAAGGTCGCGGCGGGGAGCAGCTGAGATGGAGGAGTTCGGAGGCAGGTAGTGGGTAGTGGATGCTGGGAGGATAAGCTTGTGTCTTCAAGGACATTTGTTTCCTTGGTGGAAAGGGAAGAAGGTAGGGTGGGGGTTTAGAGACATTTACCTATTCTCCCAGGCCTGGCTCCACTCAGCCTCCACCTCCAGGTGAAGTCTCAGCAGCTCCATCCCTGAACAGACCCTCTGCTCTCCTGAGTGTCTGCACTCCTGGGGCTGCTGCTCACGAGTCATCCTGCCATGGTTCCCCGCAGCCACTCGGCTTGTCCTTGCTGGGCTTGGTAGGGCCTGGCGCTGCGTACCCTGTGAATGTATGTGTTGGGGAAGGCTGAGTAGTTTGCAGAGAAGGCAGCAGCATGCAGGATACAGGGGCAGGTCCAGTGTTGTCTGGTCCAGATCAGAAGCTCCTTGAGGGTGAAAGTTGAGAGTGTGCACCGCTCGAAATCATAACAGGCTTTCTCTCCATGTGCACTACCTGCCTACGCTGGTTAACCAGACCCAGCTGTCTCTCATCCACATTTGTGGGTAATGTGTTCAGGGGCAGCAGGAGAGAGTGTGGTTCACCAGCCCCTTTGGTCCTTGGGGTAGCCCACTGATGGGCTGTTTTTGGGTCACACACAGGTTGAGCTCAGCCTAGCTTGCCATGTGTGATGGAGGTTCCCATGGCGGGCTTGTCCCTACAGTTGTCTCAGAGCTGTGGGTGGTGGGCAGTGTTTGGTGGTGCTGACCAAGGTCCATGTGGCCGTGTGTCCTTCATGTCTTTGCAGGCCTTCATTTTGGCTGGGGAACGAAACTCTGAAGGTGCCACTGGCACTCTTTGCCCTGAACCGGCGGCGCCTTTGTGAGCGTCTGCGGAAGAACTCAAAAGTACAGGCCGGCTCTGTCGTACTGCTGCAGGGCGGGGAGGACACACAGCGCTACTGCACGGACACTGGGGTCCTCTTCCGCCAGGTGAGCCTGTCCCAGCGGCCTCCCCCTGGGAGTGTGCATGGGCCTCCTATGGGCCTGATTGCCCTCCTCTAGCATTGGGCCTGGTGGGCCTAGGAGGCCATTGGAGTCCATTGGAATCCATGTACCAGGTAGATGGGGGTGGTGGGGAGGGACAGAGCCCTCTAAACTGGCTGGGGGCAGAGCTGTCCACTCTCTCAGTTCAGAGTTCAGAGAGATGATATTTCTGGGGAGCAAGCAGGCAAGGCTTCGTGGGAGAGACAGCATTTGGTTGGCCCTTGATATCAGGGTGAATCTTGACAGATGTGAGGATGGTATCCACAGGAGTGTAAACTGAGAGTGTGTTGAGCCAGTGTCCATGGCTGGGGAGCCTCAGAGGTGGAGATGGGGAAGGCTGAGCCTCCGAGCCGCTTGTAGTGAAGATCCGGTAAGGGGTGCGTGACTGAGGTGGCTTGTCTGGGCACTGAGCAGTAGTTGGAGGCCTGGCCTTTTATCCTGACATGGCCAGTGCTGACCCTGTGACCCTCACTGGGCCTTGCTTTCCTCACTTAGGAGGTGGTCTTGGGACTCCCTGAGGTTCTCGAACTCAGGAGGGTGGTAGCCAGCCCAGTTTTTGGAAGCCAGCTTGAAGATGGCAGCTTTGGCTGAGAATCCTTGGTAGTGGTTACTTCCCCAGGAACTAGGAGCAAGGACACTTAACCAAGGGGGTAACACAGGAAGCCAGGGAGGCTTTGAGTCAGGCCCACTCTTGTTAGTCCTTAGCATTGTGCACACTTTGCAGGTGAAGAAACCATGGCTCAGAGGGAAATGACTTGCCAATGGGTGAAGCTGGCATTAGAGCCCCATCTTCTGACTTCGAGTCTGCTGCTATTTTCTCCTCCCTACCACACCTAGAGCTGAGGCCTGGCCACAGTGGGACACCAGACTTTGAAGGCAGGCAGTGCCTAGCCGATGCTGTCCAGGTCAGGAGGAGGCAGGGGAGTGTTAGGAGAGCTGAGTGGTGAGAGGAAGTGGCAGAGATGGCCTTCCCAGCTGGGCTGTGTCCACACAGATCCACTGCTGAGAGCAATTGCTAAGTGTTTTACTGAAAGCCCCCCCCCTGCCCAAAGGGTTCCTTCCCTCTGCCCTGTTGCTCATGCAGCTGCAGGCCTGGCAATTGTGAGCCTGCCACCCCCTTACCTGCCAGAGACATGGAAATTTAAGTAAGTTTATTTTTGAAGTCTTGATGCTTCCTGAGGTTTACATATCCTGTGGTTTAAAAGCCATTTTTCCTAAATTCATCTATTAGCTCCTTTATTGATGTTATACAAGGACAATTTTAGAAGAGATCCTCCTCCACTTCATACCTTTATAAAATTATTTTAGCTCAGTGTTTATTGCTAAACACTGAAGTCATCAGCTGCCCCGGGGGTGGGAGAAGGAAGTAAGAAGTCCTAAATGTAGGAATCAGTTTAGAGCAGATGCCCGGCATGGGTGTCTGAATCAAGGTGGTGTCTGGCCTGCCTGTGGGGAGCAGGGAGGCTGAGAGGCACAGGGCAGGGCTGAACTTGTGATGCTGGAGGGTGCTTGTATCTTAGGGTGCTCAGTTATTGGCCTTCAGGTATGGCAGGTACTGTGAGTGATGGGGTGAGGCTGGGTTCATGTGTGAAGCCCATTATCTCCAGAGAAGACTCTTAAGTAGGGATGAAGTGACATGGGTGGGCTTCTCCCTGCCAATTCATGGAGAAGCAAGAGGGGCAGGCAGTTAGTGGAGCAGTGAGCAGAGAGCTGAGGTAAGGACTGAGTGAGGCTGGGGGCAGGTTCCAAGAGGAATGGCCTCTCTAGGGTGTAGGTAGGAAGATGCTGGATTCAGTGCCTCACTTCTCTCCTCATGCCTCATGTTTTTGTCCTGCTGACGGGGTTTTTGTTCTTGCTTCAGGAGTCCTTCTTTCACTGGGCATTTGGTGTCACCGAGCCAGGCTGCTACGGCGTGATTGATATCGACACTGGGAAGTCAACCCTGTTTGTACCCAAACTTCCTCCCAGCCATGCCACCTGGATGGGAAAGTAAGAAGCATTGCAGACTGTACCTGCCAACCACCAGCCAACTGGGTGCTGTGGGATGGGGGACAGGGCTGGGCCTGTTGGTTGGAAGGAGGGAACAAGTAGAAAGAGGAGGGAGGGTTAGAGGTCAGGCCCATTGACAGATACGCTCTGTACCTGAGCCCAGCACCCGGGGCTGGGAAGGGGCTCTAGAGCCACAACTATAGACTAGTGGTCAGTGTTTGTTAATCTTGAGATTCCAATTCCTAGCTGTGCTGAAACACCTGAGGCTTTGGTCCCAGTGGGCCATCACCACGTCCTGATATGGATGGGAGACTGTCTCCTCTTGGGTGAGGTGCGGGCTGCATGTGCTGGTGTGGTGGGGGTTTGTTAGGTAGAGCAGGAAGAGCAGCCTAGGACCCCTCTGAGAGGCCATCGCTAACGTACGGGGGTGTTTCTTGGTGCTGTGTGCTTAGCTGAACTGGGCTGAACTACACAGGGCCATAGATGTAGGCCTCAATCTTCTCCTCTGTAAAATGGGGTAGAGGCTCAGGGGTGTGCTCTTGGAAAAGTTTCAGACTGGAGGCCTAGGTGATACTGAAAGGCGCTGTCATCCTGGCCCCACCCTCCACCCCCACCGGCCTCCATTGTGCCTGTCAGCTCCAGGACCTTCTGTTGTGTCCACCTCTCTTGGGAGCCGTTGCTACCTGCTAAGGGCACTGAGGCAGAAACTGATGTGATCAGAGGATCCCGCTAAATGCTCACCGCCATCCAGCCTGTCATTTCTGCCTGCAGAGTGATTATTCTGAGCTAATGCATAAATTGTAGCCTTCACTGCCTAGTGTTGCAGAACACTCATTACCAGGTGGGCTGGCAGGTCTGGTTGGTTTGAATGACAAAGCTCCTTCCTGGCTACTGCAGGGACCCTGCTCTGCCACTTCCTCTGCTTCATGCTTCTTCCCATCCATGGCCTGTCCATGCAAACTCAGTAGCTTCCTTTTTTTTAAAACTTATTTTGTTGTTGAGAATATATACACAGGGCAACCTACACCAATTCAACCGTTTCTACATGTGTAATTCAGTGATACTGATTACATTATTTGAGTTGTGCAACTGTTTTCACCCTCCTTTTCTGAGTTATTCCTCCTCTGTTAACATAAACTCACTGCCCTCTTAGTTTTCCTATCTAATCTTCCTGTTGTCAGTTTGATCCCATATAGATAGATTTTAAAAGAGCTCAGTGCTCAAGGCAGACATTTTTTTTCACTAATTAAGCTGAAGTATTGTTTGCTTTTAAGAAGTCTTAAGGGTGATATTTTTTGGTTTAAGTTTTAAAGATTATCTCAGGGCAGTAATATCAGGGGTTCATCCACATCCCTTGACTTCAGAAAGTCTGGAGTCCATGAGGATTTACAATTCTGTCCTGCATCCCCACCCCCTTTTGATTAGGATTCTTCCATAGAATCTTTGATCAAAATGCACATTAATGGTATCTGAGTACCATCCAGTTCTTCTGGTCTCATGGCAAAGGAGTTCATGGAGGCAGTTAGCCACACATTACATATTCTCTTGTTCTTTACTCTTCTTCTTTTGATCTAGACAAATAGAGACCAATAATAGAGAGTTACTAAGACCGCAGCAGGCACTATGTAATGAATATAACCTGTCATGTATAACTTTTGGCAGTTCAGCTTTTTATAGGTGTACAACTTAAATAATTATAGCAATTACAGTAATTGGTTGTTCCACCCTACCCTTAATCAATGTGATTTTTCCATCACCATTAACACCCTTCCCCTCAACCCTGTAACCACCAATAAACTTTATTCTCTGTATATTGCCTTTTCTTGTCTTTTTCTGTGAGGTCATATCTACAATATTTGTCCTTTTGTAATTAACTTATTTTGCTCAGCATAATGTTTTTAACTTCCATCCATGTATATCATGATTTCATTTCTCTTAGTGGCTGAGTAGTATTCCATTGTATATAGGTAGTACATTTTGTTTATTAATTTATCTGTTGGTGGGCATTTAGGTTTTTTCACCTTTTGGCTCTTGTAAGTAGTGCTGCAGTGAAAATTTATGTACAAGTTTCTGTTTATGTCTCTGCTTTCAAGTCTTTTGGGTAGGTACCTAGGAGTGGAATTACTGGATCATATGGTAGTGTTGTAGTGGTTAAAGCCTTCAGCTACTAACCAAAAGGTTGGCGGTTGAACCCACCAGCTGCTCCATGGGAGAAAGGTAAGGTAGTTGCTTCCATAAAGATCTACAGCCTTGGAAACCCTATAGGGCAGTTCTATTCTGTCCCATAGGGCTGCTGTGAGTCAGAACTGACTCGATGACAGTGGGTTTGTTTTCTGTTTTTTATGGTAGTTCTGTTTGCAGTTTCTTGAGGAACCACCACAGTGCCTTCCACAGCGGCCATACCATTTTGCACTCTCACCAGGAGTGGGTAAGGATTTCAGTTTCCCCACATCCTCTCCAACATTTATTATTTTCTGTTTTTATTTTGTTTAATCTCAGCCATCCTAGTGAGAGGGAAATGGTGCCTCACTGTGGTGTGGATTTGCATCTTTCTGATGGCTGATGATGCCGAGCGTCTTTTCATGGTTTGGTGCCATTGGATTGTCCTCTTTGGTGAAATGTCTATTCAAGTCTTTTGCCCATTTTTTGATTGGGTTGTTTTTTTGTTGTTAAGTTGTTGACGTTTAAAATATATTTTAGTTATTAGATTCTTATCAGATATATGGTTTCTGATGATACTCTTCTAGTTGGTAGCTTGTCTTTTCACTTTTTTTTTTTTTCCTT